CAGAACATCTCCTCACCAGCAATCATCACCCAGATAAGCAGAGGTTACCACCACGCACACAGTGAAGCAGTGAACAATACCCTACAAATTTACTAAAATGATGTTTAGTAAAATGTATAGCATATCCACAGCCCAGGTAGAACTCTCAGGAAAAACTTACCAAAAACATAAAATCATCACCTTAAAATAGGAAAGAGAACAATACAGGTATCACTAGGAACAAATCAGGGATTAAAAGTTAAAGGCCTGGGTAAAAAGTTAGGTAGGTCGGTAGGTTGATAGGTAAGTAAGTAAATAAACAAATAACTTTAACACTAAAGAAAGAGAAAAGTTTCTGTCTTGGGTTTGCTTCCCATTATAAACACTTCTAGCAATAGAATCCCATCTAAACTCCAGCCGTGTCACTTAGAGGGCAGAGGAATCTGGAGTACATTCATATGTGAATACTGTCCCTTAGATATTTGGCTCCTAAACTGCATAAGTTTCATGGCAGGGATTTCAAACTTCTCAATATTCCAACCCTGTAAAATGGTAAATGAATTTGTGTGGCTTCTAATGAATACAGTTAATTATTTCATTTGAGTTTGGGTTGATCAAGTAATAAATACACCACTTACTTTTAATCATTGTATGTTAATCTGTGTATCACAGGGGGTCTCAATCTTTGCATAGGTGCAACTCTCTATTGGGCTTGCAAAGGCAGAGTGGAATCCCTGTCAAAACCACTCTTATTTTACCCAGCCCACAGCTGACTTGCTCAGGCAAAGGGTAGAGTAAACTCAGAGCGAGATTTGACCATGCTTACACTTTGTGCAAGCCTGATCAGATTGAAAAAAAAAATGAATCCCCCTGTAAGCTGCCCCCCAACAGGGAGTCCTAACTCATAGTTTGAGAACCATGCTTTATAGAATAAAACCTGTAATTCATATGGTCAGAAATAGATTGGCTGCCAGCACAGGTGTTTTAAGAACTACTGTATTTTTGTTTGTCTGTTTTTATATACACTGCCAGTTTCCAAATAGACTCATGGTAGCATATAGTAAACCAAAATACAGATAATAGTAATATAGAAATAATTTTAAAAATGATTATAAATTATTCATGATGCTGGTTGTCACCTATAAAGCTGTACATTGTACAGACAGAGCCAGGCTGTTTCCAAGACTGCCCATCTCCCATTGTTTCTGCTTGCCCCACCAGATCTAGCAGGGATGGCATACTCTGGGTCCCTTTCATCAAACAATGTCATCTTGTTAGACCCCAGTCATGCCTTCTGTCTGGCAGTGCCTGTCCTATGGAACAGCATCCCTCTGGAAATCTGGATGGCCCTGACACTGTTAGCCTTTTGTAGGGCATTGAAGACCTGGCCTTCAGGTCCTCCTGAAGTTCAGGTCCTCCTAGGTTCTCCTAGCCTTCCTTAGGCCAGAAGGTTAGGTGAGCTGTGCTGGAAAATGCTGTTTTTTTATAAATTGGGATTATTGTTTTGATTGGAGCATTGTGGTTTGGAGTATTAAATTGTTGTTTTAACCTTGTACACTGCTTACAATGTAGAACAGGCTTGCACAACTCATAGAGGGGAAAAGGCCACATTGATCAATTAAAAACAATCATAGGCCGTGATTAATTTCTTGGTCTGGTCAACGTAGTGGGGCTGATGCACAATTATTGTTGTGAAATGAGCAGCCATATAAGTAATTTAAATGAATGAACAAACATAGCTAAGACGTTGATCATCTTAAAAACTCAAAAGTGTTTTGTATGCATCTGTCTCTTCAATAGTTATAATTTCTTAATCCTTAAATTATCCCTCTTCTAGTGGTGCGATAAACTATTTGTTTTAATGATTTTTTCCCAAGCTTGGGTGTGTAACTGTGTTTCCATATTACCTCAATCCTACCGTGATATCAAGTTATCTGTTTTTTACTGCCTTTTTTTCTCCAGAAAATTTATCATGCCCTTTACAAAGGAGGCTAAAAAAATAGAAGAAAAGCAAAGAAAGTCTCTCCTTGGCCCTAAGAGTCTTCCCCAATCATTGGTAGTATCAAGAAGGTCAGAACTTCAAGATGGTTCCACACATCAAATAAAACCAGTTCAGAAAAATGTTAGAATATCAGAACTAGTCAGCTACAAATCAAATAGTACAAACAATTTCTGCCTTACATCGCCATCCAAGAGAAACAGACCTATCAGTGCTCCACCAGGTCAGCTAAGGTAATCAAATTTGTTCCATGTTCCTTTTAACTATGACTGTGCTTGTTCTTATTCTGTTGGTTTTCAACAAACTCAGTGGTGATTTAATTTGGCAAAATTACAGTTAAAGTGCAATATTTATTTATATTTTTGGTATCTAATAGTATTACTATATAATTTTAAGCATGTTCACTTAGAAGTAAGCTACTCTGAGTTCACTGATACGTATTCTCTTGTAAAATGTATTTAGGATTTCTATGTTAGGCATTCAAAAGACTGTTTCAATATCATAAATATATTATGTAGAAAGGTTTCACATGAGTGAAAAAAAATACATATGCTCTTTTAGATTACTATGTATGAAGTAATTTTGATACCAGTAAGAGCCAAATGTGACAATTTAATTATTCTGTAACACATGTCTAATGAATCTTATACAACTCTCTGCACAGTCTATATAATTTTTTCCCCCACTAAAATGCATCACATGCAGAAAAATCATTATTTGATAACAGGGAATGGAGATGGTAGGTTAAGATGGAAGAGGAAAAAGGATAGAAGATACATTGGAACTACTGGAATATGGTCACCATGTAGAAGGGGAACGATACATAATGTACATTATCAGAAAAGACATTTCTATGTCATCTGAATATATTCCAACTATATTTATTATTCTTTCCTATGCTATTAATGTAAAAACCCTGATTCCCACAAAATGAATAGTAACATCGTTCTGTTATAAAGTCTAATTGTACTGCTGTGTTGCTATTACCTGCTGCTCCTAATATAAAAAGAAAAAAAATCCATGAAACCTCCTGAAGGCAGGTCTAATTAGCCTTCCATAAACATCAGTTTTCAGAAAGAAAAATATAAAACCCTACAAGTGTCACAAAACCAAGGAGATACTGTTGTTAAATTTAAAATTTAAAATACTAAGTACGCTATCAGTGGCATTGTATAAAGTGTTAATTTCAGTCAGCAAACTAATTTGGAGGAGTAAGAGAACAGAAGAATATATTTACTTTCTAAGCTTGCCCAATAGCAAACTTTTATATTTAATGCCAAATCTATGCAAAAAGACATATAGGTAAGCCTTTTTGTTTTGCTGTTCTTTTAAATCACTTAAAATATGAGTTATTTTTAAATATACTGGGCTGTATCTAACTATACTCACTGGGCATATTGTTGTACTTTTGCATTTAATGTGGCTTACAAATGCAGTGCTATGAACAGTTATATCAGAACAAATGTTACTGAAAATAAATTTATTTTCAAATACATATGGCTATAATTAGACCACAGCTGTTTAAATAGAGCTTTTTAATGAAACATTACAATATTATAAATGTGGGAATCAAAAATTGTTTCTGTTATAAACAGCAATGATAACAGAAATTAAGACAAATATCAGTGGAATCCTGAATTCAGATACTTTTAACAAAAAGAAATTTTAAAAAATGACAATGGCAACTTTAAATTTGAGTTTATAGATGGTACACACAAATTAAATGTGAGGCATTGGTTCATAATTTTCCACAAACTTAGAAAAATAGTTGTCATTTTGACCTTTGTCTAAAATGAGGAAGTAATAAGCTGAACAATTATTAAGAAAGCCAATATTAACTAAATGTAATTTTAGAATAGATACATGGCATGTTCTAGTTACTTTCTCATTCAATTGAATTGGAATTATTTTGCAGCAGATGTCAACAATCTTCCTCAAAATTGTACTTTACCCAGAAGGCTTCTGATGTACCCCAGGTTTTTAAACAGAAACCACAGATACTCAGAGTAACTGCTTATAAAAATGGTGCAATAAATATATTTGCTAAAGTTACTGTGCCACCTTCCATTAAATTGGTAAGTATCTCTATTATTTATTTGGATATGCTTTTCAGACTAAAAAAAGATGAGGGTTTTATTTATTTTGAAATGAAACAGTTCACAACTGTTGGTGTAAACATAGTGATTACACTTCATGTTAAATTTTATAATAAAAAACAAGCCACCTAAGTAATGTAGAATGTGAAATTTCTCCTCATGGTTCATACAATGGTCACAATAGTAACATTGACAGCTTGCTTGGCAACTGAATGTACATACTGTGTATTTTGGGAGGTAACAGAGACACTAGTTTCCAAGTTTTGATTCTTGATTAGTAATATACCACAGAAATATATTTCTGTTATTCATTTTTCTTACCTTTTTCTGTTCATTTAGCTGCTGGAGGAATGCACTGAAAAGCTGAAGCTGAATATGGCTGCCCGACGAATCTTCTTGGCAGACGGCACTGAAGTACTGAATGCTATAGACATACCCCATGATGCTGACGTTTATATTTCAACTGGAGAGCCCTTTTCAAATCCATTCAAAAAAATCAAAGGTAGGAAAATGCCAGTCAGTGGATTAAGGGGTGCAATTAAAAACGATTTTCATCCTGTCTTTTTGCATGGTTTAACAAAACTAATGTTTACTCATTTACAGCTCAGTAAGAAGATAATGTGCTTAATGAAAGAAAAATCTACTGACAGCCACGTTTATTGCCCTTCATTAGCATTGGTGCTTAATTTAATATAGATTTGAATAGACATTAGGGAGCCTGCAGGAGGTTAAATGGTGAAAATATAATAAATTAAATCAGAGATTATTGAATTTACTATTTAGTTTCACTGACATCTTACAGACACAATTCATTAAGCTTATTACACCAGCAAAAATAATAGTTCAGAGTGTGAGTGCTTTATTAATTTAGTCATTTGACCTTTATTAAGACAAAGCATTAAAATAATTATCAGATGGTTTAAGCAGGAATGTGGAATATTCAGCCTAAATTTATATATAAATTTATTTGTGTAACTACCATTACATTTTGAAATTTGAAGTATTTTTTAAAATTTTAATCTCTGAAGTCATTGTCTCTTGTAATTAACTCTTGTAATAGGTTTTCTGGGGAATTCAAGAATAAAATGTAGAATAATATGCCATACAATTGCCACATTGATTGCAAGTGGTTTTTAATTTGAGCTGTGTTCTGCTGGATTGAATGAGTAGGACATTTCAATACAAAATGTTGTATAATGTTAGAAATTGGTATTAGGTTATGGCACATAGTTGGGTATTAGAATATTAAGGAACAAAACTATTAGCCAAATTAAAGCTGTATGTTAAGCTGGAATGAGTTAAGCAACAATTTATAATATCATACCATTAATAAAAGAAAAATAATTATAATAGCTCATAATTGAAAATATTGCAGTTGAACTGATTTTGTTATCTGAATAATGTTTTTTAGAAGGTAAAACAAAATTTTTAGCTGATGTACAGGTACCTTTTCATTATATCTTTCCAGGCTTTCTATAATAATTGTCATTTTTAATATTGATGAAAACATTCATGACATCAACATTTATCATTTTATAAGTGTTCTAAAATGAATGTCTTATACTAAGCAGATTATTAAACTCTTTTTTCTTAAAGTTTTTAGACTGAATGCTGAAAACCTCAAATGGGAAAAAAGCTCTGAGTTTATGTTAAAGAAATTGATTACTGTATAAGCAGCAAATTATGCTTCAAAATAGGCAGAAAAGGTGTCATAAAAATGAACATCCTTGAAATGCTTAATAAAACCTTATTAAAAGAGGGATATTATGTTTAGAATGATGGAAATATTTAATTTTAATATATTTAGTGAGCAATAAAATATATATGTATATCTTTAGTACTTTTGAAGATATTATGTCTGTAATAAGTAGCCCATTGCTCATGAATTATTCATCTAGTGTCATATTATAGATGATGTGACAGTTTTCCTGAATACAGTCCAAATAATCCACTGAATGTGTTTTAATACGTTAACACAATAAGAAGATGCAAATTAAGCAAAAATCTTTTCTAATTTTTAAAATTCTTACAGTGTAGTGAATTATCTTGCTATTAACCATGATAATCAGTATTAACTTTGCATTATATCTTAAGAAAAGTTCAGCAAACCTAATGTTACCATACTCTAGCAGTATAATAGTTTTTTGTACTATGTGCTACTTTTCCAAATGTATTATTGGCCATTGGGGTTTTCAGATCCAAGAAGCATTTTGTTCTTTCTTGATCTCTGCTTCATTTGCACTCAACAAAAACTTCTCTGCTTTGTCTGCATCTTTTGGCTGTGTTTCATCATGACATGCACTGCTGTTCCTTTAGCACCAAAATATTGGCACACATTGCTGAAAATTTCACACCAACTCTTGCTGGATCAGCAAGCTTAACCTACCAAAATCTGGTGTACTGGAATAGTATTTGACTGATAATCAATCTTTTTGCTGCTCGACAGTTGTTTCTGGGACTCAGAGTAGAGCAGGTGGCAGATGTGCCTTGTCTTTTGAGAAAAGAAAGAGTAGGTGAGGTTGGGCATAGTATATTGAGTGTCCATTAAGAGGGCTCTGCGAGGGTATTACTGTGAAGAAGTCACTGATAAACATAGAAGACACACCAAAAGCATCCCATAGGTTTTTCAGGCTGATTTATTCATTCAATAGGATTGTGCATTCATCACAATTTATTTGAAAGCTTTCTATAAATGATGTCAATAATGTCAGCAGTAGATAGATAGATAAATGTATATGCAATTTTAACAAGACTATTACTGTTGTATTCATTCTGAAGAATGTACATTGAATTGTAACTGACTATTATTCCAATAGTGCAAAAATTTTACTATTTGGAGAAAACTCATTTTATTACTGTGCAAAATCCCATGATTTTGTTTATACAACTAATATACAAATAAGTCCACTATTCATAAAAACTTTATTATACTATATGTTATTTGTGCTACTTTTGCTATTTGTGCTAGCAGAGAAAACCTCTTTGGAAAAAATACATCAACATATATTTGAAGAAGGTTCATGAAAACTCAAAAGCAGCTTTTTCATATGGAAATGTTGAAAATATTATACAAGTAAAATATAAGCAGGCTGAAGAATGCCAGCTTAAAATTTCTATTAAAGTATAAAGTCTCATATATAAAGGAAGTATGTTTGTGGAAGTGAGTAGAAATGCTGATATCTGCTTGTTTGTTGAAAACATACTTGGACATTTCAATTGACATTTTTAAAATATTGTTTTGACAGTCTGCATTAAAGATACTATTTACATATTAACTGTGAATAGAAAATATTTATTTATATGTTTAAAAATAACATAAAAGCCTAAATGTCATTTTACAATGCTTTTGAATATTGGTCAAGAAAAATGGTTCATTAGATTAACTCTGCAGAGATATTAGAAAAAGCATAGGATTTTCACTAGTGTGGTTGTAATAAAGTCTGAATAAGCAGACACAAAAACATACATGTGTTTTAGCTGAAAATAAAGGTTTTTTTAATAAGTAAATGCTTGTGGCTAATGAAGTAATCATGCATGCATCATAAGAATGTTCACTATGCAGAAAATGTTATCCAAGCCTAAACACTATATAACATCTATTTGAAACACAGAATTGTTTATATGGAAAATCTGCATTTTATACTATATGGTTTATATATATTTATATATCAAAAATAAGTTTGGAAATTATGATATTAATTCTACCCAATATCTCCTTGCCCTCTTGTTTTATTACACCATAAGGTATACTTGCAAACGTTGGTTTCTACCAGCTGTCTATTATGTGCTATACTGGATGGAGGTTTCTTGGGTTATGTTTTGTAAGCTACTAGCTTCTTTAATTAACTTCATTCTTTTGTTTACATTTGAATCATATTAACCTGTGCCCAAAGCTTTGATCTGTCTTCTTTTTCTTTAGAAGACTTTGTTATATAATTTAAAAAAATGAATGCTAAAAATAAATTGCCATTCACTCTATTCCAATAAATTGATTTGTAAAGCTTTTCAGTTTTGCTTGATGAGAGAGGGAATGCAGACATCATGCTGATGGCATTTTAATCTCTTAATCGTGATTTGAAACTATGTACATTTTCCATAGTACATAGACTATATCTTATCTGCAGCGGTGTGGAAATCAGTCTCACTCAGCTTAGTCAGGGATATATCCTCAACATAAAAGCTTTCCTGCTTATTGCAGCATAAGGATCTCTAATGTTTGCTTCCCTTCCTCTTGAAAGTAACAAAGGGAACCTGTTTGTCCTGGATTACAAGGGATGGGAAGTTTTTATTCACGTGTCTGCAAGATGATGCTTGTCTGTGCAAATAAGATTGTGGAACTACAGTGAAACTAATTGTTGTGTGGCTCCAAACTTCATGATTATACCCTGCATTATAGGGAACCCTGTTTATTATTAATCACAGTTATAATTGATACAAATATTTCCTTAAACTAGAAGGAGGGAGCATTGGTCTGAAGGCAACTCTCTAGCAGAAGGGAACCTATATTCTTGAGATTAGTGTAGTTCAGAAGTTATGCTTGCTGTTGTCCCAATTTAGTGAATGACAACAAATGCTCATCTTATTCATGTTGAGAATGCAGGTTAACCTAGTCCTGGATTACAAAAAGAAAAACTGAAAACTGAACATCTAATAACAAAATATATCTTGGTTAAAATATGTTTTGAATTATGAAGATAATTTATTTTCCTTTTGGTTTCTTATCATATGTGTTAATTTTAAATTATACAAGACATGCAATAATATTTGCTCCTTCTACTGTTTTTCACTTTCTAACCACTTCCCTACTAGCAGCAATTAATAAGGTAATTGCCAAGATACTGGCAATATGAGACATTTTTCCACTGTCATAACCTTTTCCAGGATTTTAGATCTATATTTTAGAAAGCCTCTGAAGTTCTTCTATATCATTGGATAAGAATATTACAGTTGGATGAAAACATCAGTGATTTTTTTCCCTCTGAATAGATTTCATGCCTACTTTACCTGGATTTGAACCTCCAATTAGGGTTTCCTAAGGAATTATTCCATGTCTTCAAGAAAACTTGGTTTTAAGTTAGCTGATTGCAGTTACATTTTTAAAAATACAGTTTAAATATTGCTGAACTAAATGGCTGTTGTATTTTTCATTCTAACAATAATTAGCAATGTTTTACCTTATTTAGGATATTTTCATAGCAATTTATATAGGAGTCAAAATTATTTTCAGATTTATTAGTAGCTGTTGACATAATCTTTCTATTCTCTCTTTCTTGGTATATTTCGATGGGGGAAAAAAGCATTTCTAAATGATGGCTGTTATTCTGTTTAGAGACTGACTCCTGGCTCACAGTTGGCCCACTGTGATTACCTCAATTTGAAGGAAATGTATGACAAGTTGTTATTAGAATTTTCTCCTCAACAACAAAAATGTGGTTGTGTGGAATTTGGGCCATTGTTAACACTTCTGTCATATTACTGCAGTTGCTCTTCTTTTCATTGTTC